CCCCGCGTCCTTGCTCATTCTCTTTCATTCCTGTTCAAAAACAAACGGTCAGGCCAACATGTCAGCTGGCGCCCGGGACTTGCTGGGCGGCAGGGCCGGCAGAGGCTGCCACACAGCACAGGGCGCGTCGGGCCGGGCTGGGGCAGAAGCAGTCAGGGGCAGGACCCGGGGCCATTCGGACTTGGCCTCGGGAGGCTGGTGGTGGTCAGGGGGTCCTGAGCCCCGCGGACACAGCCCTGGGCTGCAGCTTCTCCTCCCGAGGGGGAAGCAGGTGGTGCCTGGGAGCCCGAGTCCCTCTGGCCAGCACCGGTCCTGCCCTGGGCCCAGAGCACAGAGCGGAAAGGGGAAGGGTGGGGTCAAGGAGCGCAAGGTGCTTTCTGGGCAGAGCTGGCCACGTCGGGGACCCTGTTCCCAGGCCCTGCCTGGGCCGGGCAGCTGCAGGTCAGATGCGGGACTGCCCGAGCCGCTTCAGAGACAGCGCCCCGAGGGCACACTGGGGGACATCGCCCAGTGTGGGAAGCGCCTGCTGGGCCCCGGGCTGCTCCAGGTGACCAGTGGGCCTGAAGCCCGGTGCCTGGGACATAGGAGGGGCGGGGCCGGGGGACGCCTGCAAGAAAGCCCCGCAGGGCTCACAGGGCCTGAGACACGCGTCCTCTCTGGCGCAGCCCCGCCCAGGCCCAGCTCCGTCCTCATCCGGCCAGGGCCAAGCTCTGCTGACCAGCAGTAGGAAGGCCAGCGACCAGCAGCCCGGGCCTGCAGAAGCGCCCTATTCGGAGGAGGCCCGGCCAGACCAGAGCCCTGAGAGGGTCTAATTCAGCCCCACTGGCACCCCGACCCAGAAGGCACACCCCACCAGCTGGCCCAAACCCTTCCAGCAGCCTGGGCCTGGGGGGCGGGGCCGCTCCTGCAGCTGGGCTCAGGAGGAAGAGACCCGAAGTCCCTCCCTCGGCCCATTCACCCCCAGCAGGATCTAATTTCAAAACCCAGGGCGGCTGAGGCCTGGGGGAAGAGGGGAACACAGGCGGCTGCCTTCTGGCTGGAGTTTCCTTTCACTTCTCCTCTCACAGGGCTTGCCAAGGCAGGGGGAGGGGTGCCAAGGCAGGGGGAGGGGTGCCAAGGCAGGGGGAGGGGTGCCCCGCATGCAGGCAAAGCCAGGGCAGGGGCAGCTCCTGGCCACCGGCAGCCAGCCGGACTCCCTGGGGCCGAGTCAGCAGGGTAACAGCTGGGGAGCCTCAGGCCAGCAGCTGACCCTGGGAAATGGGCTAGAGCAAGTGAGCCTGCAAGTGGCCCAGGCCCATCACTGCCGTGCGAGTGGGCCTCTGGGGGCGGCCTCTCGGGTGGGGGGCCTCTCATGTAGGTGGCCCTCTGGGGGGGGCCTCTGGGCTGAGAGAAGCACTTCAGTACTGGCAGCCAGAGGGATCTGAAGCTGGGAGTGGGGAGCAGTGGGGGGGAGGCCGACTGCCAGCTGGGCCTGGGGAGGTAAGCAGCTGGGGGAGGGGAAGCGGGGGAGGGGAGCTGGGCCCAGCTCCTGCAGCAGGCCGGAAGGCACTGGAGGCCACAGGCGCATCTGGATACCAAGACCCAACATCCCGGAAATTCTGGGTTCAAGCAGAACCGCCCACCTCCCTGCAGCAGGGTGTCCAGGGCCCCAGGCCCAGGTGGGGCTGCGTAGGTGGCCAGGAGGCCCCAGGGTGCCCATGGAGAGCATCAGGAAGCCCACCTTGCCGCCAGGCCAGGCAGGGACCCCAGGCCTGGTGGCCGCCCTACCCCTGAGCTCGCTCCCAGGAGACGGGGCGCCAGGCCCGCCACAGGGAGACGTGGGCCAGGCGCCGGGGGCCAGCTGCTGCCCAGGGACCGGACCGCAGGAGGGAGGCCGGCCCTCCCTCCTGCCGCAGCCCCGGCCCCTCCTCCGCAGCTCCTCCCCCTGCCCCCACATCCTGCAGCACTCTGCCCGCACTCACCTGGTGGGCAGCAGCAGCGGGCACCACCCCTCCTCCGACACAGGGTGTCCAGTGCAGAGGGCCAGGCCCGGTCTGGGAGGTGCCGCCCCTCTGTAACCTGAGCCTGCGGCCTGCGGGCCTGCTCTTCCCATCAGGCACCAGGCTCTGCAGGGAGCCCCAGGCTGGGAGCTGCGGGAAGCTGGGCTACCTGGGGGGTCACGGGGGTGAAAATAGCGCCCCCCTCCCTCCTGGGCAGACTCCGGGCCATGGGGCACCCTCAGCCCGGGGGCTGCTCCGGGCCCACCTCTGGCCACCAGTGCCACTGCGCTCAGGCTGGGCCCCGGGGCCTGAAGCCCGGGAACAGAAATCCTCAGCCAGCAGAGGCCCTGCCCCTCTCTGCGCCCCTCAGAACTGGGGGCGATCCCCCAGCGACACCTGCACGTCCAGGACGCTGCGGCCGCTGGGCGTGCGGGGGATGCCAGGCGGTGCCCACTCATCACCCCACAGACAGACGCACCTGACAGCCCAGAGCGCCGGCCGCCTCCCGACAGCGGGGGAAATCGGGGCACAGAGGCAACAGGGGCCCAAACAGACGAGGAGCCAGAGGGCACAGCTCTCAGCCTCGGCCAGAGGAGGGCTACTGCCCCCCCGAGGGCGGGCAGGAGGCACAGGCAGCCTCCCGGGCAGGGGGCGCCCCGGGGGGGCCCAGGGGGAAGCCCCGAAAGCGCCGGACACTCTGGACCATGGATCATGCCCAGCTGCCCATGCAGGTCCCGGGGGGGCGCGAGTCCCCAAGCCCCGAGCCAGGACAGGTGACAGGTGGGGGTCCACCAGGTGCAAGACTCAGGGGGTGCCAGAAGCCCCCGGCAGCGAGGCGCTCAGATCCCAGCGCAGGCTTTTTGAAAACTGGCATTCTGGGCCTCCCTGGTGGTGCCGGGCTGACCCCGGCTGGGCTGACCCCGGCGGGGCTGACCCCGGCGGGGCTGACCCCGGCTGGGCTGACCCTGGCTGGGCTGACCCCGGCGGGGCTGACCCCGGCGGGGCTGACCCCGGCTGGGCTGACCCCGGCTGGGCTGACCCTGGCTGGGCTGACCCCGGCGGGGCTGACCCCGGCGGGGCTGACCCCGGCTGGGTCTGCCACCTAGCTGATCCTGGAAATAAAAACACAGCTGCGACCATGCTCCTAACAACACCAAACTCGCCATTTCCTGAAGCCCGTGGCCCTTTGCTGGGACCCTGCTGCCCCCGTTTCTAGACCGGGGACCCCATCACCGCCTGCAAGGGGGCTCCACCCATGGGCCGGGGGTCTCCTGCCAGGGAGCTGTGGACCTCAGACGTGGCCTTCCCAGGTGACTTCACGCTGCCCTGCGTGAGCCACGCAGAGGCTACCCGGGACACCCGTCTCCACACCTCCCCTACACGCCAGCCCAGGGCTCACGCCAACCCGGGTGCAGGGCCGCCCTTCACCCCCTCCACAGCTCCCACCTCTGCGTGATCTGCGGGGTTTCAGACAGCTTTATTACAGGATGAGTTTCCGGCTACAGGTATAAATTAAAACCCTGAGAGAGCCACGGGGGAAAATGCTGCGTTTTCAAAGCACCAGCTCCCCACGAGGGCCTCAGGCCAGACGGCTGCACCAGTGACATTCCTACAGGTTTGAGCACAGTGATGACTACATCGCTGTTGCAAACATTCCAGAACGTTCCAGAACACAGGAGAAACACGAGACCCATCCCAAGCATCTTTGCAAAGCCAGCACCACAGATAGCAAAACAGACAGGAGCAGCGGCTGCGCCCATGGCCCACGCGAAGACCGGCCACGGCCCACGCGAGACCGGCCCACGGCCCACCTCGGCCAGCATGAAGTGAGCACCGGGAACGTGACTTCACTGGGGAGAGTGGAGCCGGCAGAGAGGGAGAGAGCGGGCGAAGGCGCGGCAGGGCCGTGCGCGGAGGGGAAGCCCCCAGCCGGCCACGGCCACGGCGCACAGGGACGTGGCGGAAGCCAGCAAGGGAGCGAGGTGCGGGGCCTGGGCCGGCTGCAGACACGACAGCCCGCCGGGCCACGGAGCTAGGGCTGGAAACTGGGTGGCGCGGGTCTCGGGGTCAGGCCTGAGAGGCACACCCCGGGCCACCGGCGCCCGGGCAGAAAGGCTGGTGCTCACGCAGCGGCCACCTCGACAGGGGCTGGGCGTGGGACGGGGCTGCGTGCGGAAGCCCCACAGCGCGCCGAGGTGCGCCCCCAAGTCTACGCTGCCTGC